TTAGTGGCGTCTAGCAGTGATACTGCAAGCCTGTGCTAAGCATGAGGGAGAACTACGGTGTGGGTTGTGAAAATGCCAATGGTCTTATCTAGAGCCAGTGGTTTGTCCACTCTGGGCTACTGTAGAAAAACATGGCAGAATCCATGGGAGAGGACCCCCTCAGTATATAAACAGCTCATTTTAAGGTTACAAAAACACAATAGCTCTTATTTTCAGGTGATTATACACTAATGAAAACATAGTTATTAATATTACATACCATTTCTGCTAATAGATGCTCCTGTGGTATAAATCTGAAGTGAAGGTGAGTAGCAACAGATAACAAAACAACAAAAAATATCTCCTGCATTTTAAAATTATTTCTCTTCTCAGTTACACTTCATGCCGACAAACTGTGACTGAATTGACATGTAGCCTATTTCCAGCTGGGAGTTCAAACTGGCAATATCACTTTCTTTACATCTCCATGTCTCTTTGTCCCTCATGCTAATGCTGGCTCACCCAAGCAGTGGTGGGCATCAATATTATGTCAGTTGAGTCAGATGAATGAAGCAGGATTTCCATAATCTCAAGGCAAAGCTGACAAATTCCATGAGCATTAAATAACATATTGTGTGGTCTAAACTGAAACTGAAAAGTGAAACTCTGTTAAGCTCTTTGTTGTTTACACAGACTGGAGATATATTTCACATATCATATCTGCGTCACATGCCATGAGATGAAGACAAAAGCAAAACAGATTGGGATACAGCAGCAAAGTAAACATGCGGCGGCCTGGAAGCTGCCTCATTCAGTTTTCAAAAATTTAATTTATGTACAAGTCTTGTTGAAGCCACCTGTAAACACACAGGTTCACACCAGTGTCATTTATTCCTATTAGCTTGTCATGTCCCTCCACACTCGGCTGGAGACGCATCTCTGCGCCCTCGACGGCACTGTGGCTGAGGGAACCAACCTCCCTCTCTACTCAACCTCTATGCCAGAGTGACTCCTGCATTTTTCCAGAGCGGCTGTTTCTTGAAATTCCCTGTCAACACCTCCTTGAAGCGCTGCACCCACTCAGAATACAAAGCAGGAGGCAATGAAACCTCTGCAGAGCCACCAAGGCTGAACTGTACTCAAACAAGTAGTTGAGTTAGTGTGGCTCTTAAATCGGATGATTTAAAACATTTTATGCATTATCAAAAGGGTTTTCTTACCTATTAAGAATCTTGACTTTTGTAAACATTTAAAAAGTTGCATTCATCCAGCATTGCTTGTGACAACATCCATTTTCCCGCAGGACAATGACTTTAAAGCCCCTGACATACCAAACCAACAGTCGGTCAGTGTTGGGCTGTCAGTGAGGGTCTGTTGCCCTAGTTGGCTTCCTTCTGTGCAGTGATACAGTTGCTGGGTGTAGTTCGTTAGAAAGAAAGTAGTACCTACATGAAACTGCTCACAGCAAGGTCTGCTAATTATCTTGAGTAACCAGGATTTCTTGGATTAGATATTGCTGTTGAGGTTGTTTTTGAAGACCACAGGCCAAATGCCATTGAGTTTCATTAGTTTCATTATACTGCAGAGACGGCAGACACGTCTACGGCTTATATCTCCAACGCTCGGCCACTCACCCCAAAGCAATCGAGATTGATAAACAGCACTACAGATGAGAGGAACATGTATTTTAGATTTTGGAGTAACTGTCCCTTTATCATCTTACAAAATCACTACATATTTTTTCAAATGAGTGATGAAACAATATTTCTCTGGTGGACTGAGATCTAGGAATCCTGCTGTATGTGCATTGTGCATGTATCTCTGTTCAAGGCAATATAATTGTAAAGAAGTCAGTCAGAGCGTTTGTGCACGCACAGATTCCTCCCCTATTCCTAACTTCTATTATCCCCTCTACTCATGCACTTTCTGTAACTCATAGGTTGTGATAGCCTTTATGACTTCCTACTGCGTTTGTTATGAATTATACGCCACTTTTGGCTCCGACTGGAAACTGATTACACACATGGATTCTGTGTGTGACTGTGTGTACCTGAACTGTGCTATGATTCATATTATTTTAAGAAATATATCTTCTTTCAAGCATTTATACCATCTTGGAATATGCCTTTACTCTCTCATTATTGCCATCTTGAGGCTGGCAGAATCATGATTAAAGATGAGCACAGGTAACAAAGTAGATCCCACTGCGTGATATACTGATGATAACTTCACGGGCGACACAGTGGTGCTGCACAAAAACAACTCATGATGAGAGAAACAGAAAGGGGAAAGTCGGCCAGAAAACTCTCAGCAGCTGCTCTGCTAAACAAGTACCTGTCTCCCCTTTACAACGGCAATTTACTCTCACTGGCTCTAATCAAAGTGGACGGCTGATTAAATGAAAACAGATTGGCGCTCCATATTTTTTGCTGTTTCCAGATCGAGGGCGCTGACAGCAGAGAGCACAAGTCTCAAGCTCATTTGCTGATTTTTTTTCTCCCCCACACAGTCTCTTTAAACATAGGCCTGTTAAATTGGCACTGGGAAAGTGAACCTCTGAGGGCTCTTAGCCAAACCTTTGAGGTAGAGCTCCAGTCTCACTAGACCCTGTCCGCCTGTCAGAAAGCTGCTGCTGCACCTCACTATCCCTATCTTTTTCCTGGGGATTTCAGAGAGATGGGATCCTTCAACCAAAACGACTGAGATCGCTGGAGGTTTATTAAGGGAGCTTTTTCCTGAGGCGTGATTTCCATACACCTCAGGTAACTTGTTGTTTGATCCTCAAAACCAATAAATCAATGAAGATTTTTATGCAGCTCATTTTCATGCAGGTTAATGCAGGTTATAGTGTTTATAAAGTACGCTTTCAGAGAGAGGCAGAGGGGGATGGGTCTGACTCTTGATCTGTTTCTATACTCTTTGTGTCACATGGCAAGCATGGGTGGCGGGCAATATTAAAATGCAGAAGTACAGACTGTCGTTCGAAGAACAGCCTGAGAGAGCCAGCAAAACTCCACTGAATGACATGTTTTGCGTCATCCATGTCAGAGAGTTTCACCGCGGGGGTTTGATACAAAGCTAGTTGAAAATGATGACGTATCCCTTTAAACTAGTACGTCACCCTCAGAATGATCATTTGTCACTTACTCACCCCTTGTTATCTTGAATTCAGAAAGAACTTCTGCCTCCACAGTGAACAAAGAATCCACAAATGGAGAAAATTTGTGATGAATTGAAGCAAATGGGGGCTGCGTTCAACATCAGCAAAACAATATCAAATCACGCAGTACAAGCCAAGTCTCATTTATGCCATTATACACACAATACTTTCCAAACACATGCATTTTCGCTAAAATTTTACTATTTAAACACTTGCGCATACGAGTATCACCCCTGGACAAGCTTGCCCAGGCGCACTACACGTCTGTGCGTGAGTCTCTTTATGCAGATATGTTTTAAACAGTGAGGTTTTAGTGTGTTTGGGAAGTACTGAGCATATGACTGGAAAAATTAGACTTGGAGAGTTTGTAAACTGGTGTTTCTATAAAGATTTGCTGTTGTTACATGCTGCCAAACTTTGCTCCAATTCATCAAACATTTTCTCTGCTTTTGGATTCTTCGTTCACTGTGAGGAAAACAAAGTTTTCTTCACAGATTCAAGGTAACACAGGGTGAGTAATTAATACACAGATGCTAATTCTATTAAGGCCAAGCTGAATAATGAAAACAGAAATAGTGAAACAATATTAACACACGAGCTAAAAGATAAAACCTGTAGTAAAAAAGTGACACAATAACACAATTAGAGCACAAAAAACATTACAAACACACTCTTGGAGTAAACCGGTCTAAAAAGGTCTTCTTTGAGCTGGGCTGGGCGATATGACATAAAATCTATATCTGCATTGATCCCTGTTTATAATTTCCTGCCTCTGCTTTGCTCATGTCATCACACACATCTCCAGGCCACAAATCTAACCATTTTTAAGAGCATTCACCTGTGTGGTCATTTCATCAGATGCCTGCAACACCTCAAATGGTCCCTTTCAAAGTAAAGAAACAGTGATCCTCCTCCAAGCTTCTTCCAGATATCTTAGTTCCTCACCCAGTGTCAGGATGAGCCACCCTACAAACTACTAAAACCCTCCTTAAGAGGCTACTTTCAGAGCAGCCAAGGTGCTGGTTTTTACATTAAAGGCATTTCATGCAGGGCCCTGTAGCACGCCTACTATTTTAAAAATCAATACCAAAACTAGCCAGTGAAGGAACTTCAGGTGTAATGTGCACCCCTCTGGTCATTATCAGGACTCAGACTGCAGAGTTCTGGATCAATTCTGGATGACTTATGTAGTTTACTGGGGGAAGGGGGAGCAGATATGAAAAAATTAAAATCGTCAAACCCACTGGTGATAAAACATGCTGTCTCTCTGCACTGTTCCACGCGAGGAAGAGCTGCTCTTTAGCTATGAACATGATTAACAAACAAATGAAATGCATTAAAGCCTTGGCCATGAAATGAATCCACGTGAGGCACCACAGATTATTACAGAGTTTTTTTAAATCAATAGTCTACAGCCACAAAGAAATCACTACCAAAGATGTAAGGAGGGTACACCTGGTGCAGACAGCTCCAGGTGTACACATACACTCAATTGGTTTAAACACTCAGCTCATACGATAATGGACGCTGAGATGCAGAATAAAGTTTTTTAATGGCTCCTCTGGGCTGGGATGGGCCTAAAAACCACCCTGAAAATTGCTGGTTCTACACTGCTTTTCTTTAAAACCATTGCATTCTTTAGCACAGTTATAGAACATGTTCCAGTAAATTATTCACATCTGTTAGCAACTCATCAGACCAATAATTAAAAAAATATGCTCGAGGACAAGTTGCAAATTTTAAGTAAAGATAAATAAACCTTTTAAAGAACACACAGATGACTGGATGGGTGGATGAATGTGCTGATTTTACTTGAATATAACTGAGGAATAAAAACTCCTGTTCCAAAAACAGCACTGACCTTGGCGTGAACAGCGTAGGAGGCCAGCAGCACAGAGGCCTCAGGTGGACAGTGAATCTCCTCCTCAAGGATCTTCTTCTTCACCTGCGGAGTTACCAAATATAATCAGCTTTGAGGCACTGCTAATTTTGCTGTCAATGTTTCCACCTGAATATCAAAGCCCTCTTCCTTCCACCTAACCTCTCTCACACAAAAATATATTCAGAACTTGCTAATGCAGTATGTTCTGTGCCGTTTATGCCGCCCTTTCACCGAATTACTTTTTAGGTAATTGCGCCGTCGCAGACAAATTTCCAATGTCAGAATATAATCGAAAGGGTTTTACCTCAGCTGGTGCGCTCCAAAGACGTCGATCGTTTGGTGTGAGGGCGTCATAAAACTCAGTCTGAGCTGTTTCAAGTCAGTCTTTTTCTCATGTTGATGTTTCCACAAAATCATGTTTGATATTATGTTAAGTTTTTAGTCTTGGCTGATGCAAATACTGGAGTTCAATGACATGAACACTGTCAACAAACGCTGACAATAGCTGCGCTCTCTGCACCAAACACGAAGCAGCAAACTTGGTAGACTGAGGTGCAAGACTGTGAATGAGTCTCTGTTCTCTTGTACTGTGGAAAGGAAGCTGGTGGAGCTGTGGAGTGAATTTAGAGTGTATCAGATCCACCAACATAGCATTTCTTTTGGTAAGAAGTCCTAATTTTTGAAACGCTCACCTATTATTTCCACTGTCACCTCCTGCTAAAATAGCGTTTGAAGAAAGTTTGAAACAAATACAGTTTAGCTTTAAAGATTATATTGATGCCAAAGTGCCAAGAATACTGTCAACATATGACACCTTTTACCTTTCATTATTTAAAAGTCTTCTAGTGTACAATAGTTGTCTGTTTAATAAGCGGAGAGGCTTCTCACTGTTAAATTTTCTGACAGCACTGAAGACAAAATATCCAGTAAAGCTGCGTTTTGAGAGGAAACTATCATCTATAATAAAAATCAGGGCATCTGTTCTTCGTCCTCAGTCTGAGTGTTACATCTCCTTTATATTGATTTCCATGAGAGGAACAAAATGGTTCTTGTGAGATGAGGGACCTGAATCAGATTGACAGGCGATCTAACTTGACTCAAAAAAAAAAAAAAAAAAAAAAAAAGACTTGATACTTCAGAGAGAGGAGTGTCAGTGAAGGGTGAAACACAACTTTCTGACAACTGTGCTTCTGACAGCCAGAACTTTATTCCCTTAATTCCACTCAAATAAATAAATAAAGGAACCACATGCAGCTAAAACACTGCTCAGGCGCCACTTTTTAGTGGCCACAAAATCAGGTTATTATATGCTGCAAAGAGGGTAAATAAACTTCCGACTACACTGCTGCAGTACACTGGCACTTGCTCATTTTCGACTGGAAACAGGACAAACTCTAAAATAAATATTGTAAGACTTAAGCATCATCGCCACATGGGGACCTATTAGACACCAGAACAAGAGCTATACCTAAGCCAACATTATTTCATATGATCATTACGCTGCTCCAGGAATATTGCTTGCTACTCGGCAGAATATAATGACATGACTGAAATGTGTGAGGCCTTGAAAAGCTCCAAATTATAATTAGAGAGCGCCGCCCAGTTTTATAATTCATGTTTCCCTCTGTGCCCCTGAGCTAGAGAGCTGACTCTACGTGTGTGAATATACTGCTGTCAGTATGAGTGACAAATTCAAGGTTCACATCTGCAGTTTATAGCTTATAGAAAAAGCGGTTCATGTGTTGATTTAACTGTCATGGATCCCCGGTAATAACATGAATTCTTAAAATGGGTGGCAATCCACTTTAACAAGCTCCCTCCAGATTAAAGTGCTACATCTCGCCAGGTGTCACTGCCCGAGCTCCGTCATCTGTCAAACTAATAGAATCACAAACTTACAAAACTACATATAGAGCGCAAAGCCGGATTGTAAGGTTAGACGGAGCAAGCCGCACTTATATAAGTGGGCATTTTAATGCTTTAAACCTTATTATTTGCAGAGCCAGGCAGGCTGTCTCCTGCTTGTTTTGAACTAACAAAGGTGTGGAGCCAGAGGTGACAGCCCCTAATCGTGGTGAGCACTAAGAGGCTGCGGCTGCAATCTGGTTTACAAATGAGAGCGTGTTGCTGCCGAGATTGCGGGCCGAGGTGAGGGAGATGTGCATGTGTCAGTTTGTGTAGGTGGTCTAAAGTGTGTGAGGGGTGTGTGCGTGTGTTTGTATCCGGGTCGGTGATCATTTCTGATAAGCACTAATCCAGCTGTCATGCCTGTGACACTATCTGAACAGAGGCCTGCTCCTGACATTATGGGAATTAATGAGAGCAAAGTAATAAGGAGACAGGCGGTGCAAGGCACTGTGCATTTGTATTCTTCTCCGCTTGTAGCTGTGTACCACTTTAACTGTTGAGTCATTTGTCGGCTGTAGGTTTTTTGTTTTTTTTTAGCAAGGTTTCCCTCTGAAATAAATAAATTGCTTCAACTACCTCTAAACGGATTAAGGACACAGAGAGACTTTTTATGTGACTTAAGTGTCTCTATCCAAATGTACACAAGCACACTGCTGTCTCAAACTATATAACTAAACCATCACAATGGGCTATGAATGCTATGGGGGATGAGCATCCCATGGAGAATATGTCATTAACTTGGCCAATAACTGAGCCCTTAAAGCCTAATTGGTAATTGATAAATGTGGCTGGTAGCACTGGACGATGGGAGCACAGTTACAAATCTCATCTCTTGCGAGGAGAATGGTGCGGCAGGCTCTGCAGGAATTCCCTGGAGAGTATTAAGTGAAGAGAAAGGGCAGCGGTAATATGTTGTGCATTGATTCCACATGGCTGCACACAATCAGACCGGGACAATGGAAGAAAAAAAAGTGTATTACAGAGAGCTCAGCTCAACAACTTGTCAGAAACTCTGTGGACGCGTGCCCCCTGTTGGCACTGGATCAGAAGCCGCAGATTTGGCACGTCAGCCTGGGTGTGCGAGGGTGAAATGGATATTCCTAAATTCACAGAGCATTTTGAAGGCTTTTAAGAGTTAAAGATCAATTATCCTGCTCGCGCACACCTATTTTTTATCACACACTTATTTCATCTGGCTCCTCAAAAGGATGACACCCACTTCTGAGAACTATTTTTTCTTTTAAAGTCTTGAACACAGCACCACTCGGGAGATTACGATCAAGGAAAGAGAGGTTTTGGAAGAAAAAAAAAAGTGTCTGCCCACTAGCCAAGCACTAGGCAGTTATTCACAGATTCTTCAGAGAGGCATGTTGGATTTCAGGTTTACCTGTAAGCCTGCAGCAAATTTTAACTTGGAGAGCAGCAGTGGAAGGAGACAATGTGTCAGTCAGTGAGTGTACATAAGGCCTTTATGGTAAGTTAGACATTAAGGAAACAGACAGGATGACGATAAGGTAAGTATATAAAGAGTATACCTAAAGCCAGAGGAAGAAGCTATACTGTAGCTAAAAATCAAATAATTTTCAATCTGATTTACTTTGACATGAAGAAAACACCACTCTCAATGTCAGCACAACAACAAAACAGAAGATTTATATGATTTATAGTCACCTGAAGGAAGAAGAGATGCTGTGTTATATCTTGCACCAGCTCCTCCTCTGCATTTTCAGGGTAAAACTTGGCCAGGAAGTGAAAGGTGATTGGTTCCTCCTTCGGTATCTCCTGATCCAGAACCTACGATGATAAACCAAAGAAATCAGCATTTGCACGGTGAAGCGCTGCATCCCATTTCCACGCTCGCTACGTCTTTATCAACAGTGTTTACATGGGTCACGGCTGTTACAGAATCACTTACCCTCTTTTCCATTTTCAGCCAAGCAATTGTGTCCTTGACGTTGTACCGGAGCCCAAAAAACCACGTCTCCCTCAGTCCCAGAGTCCGGCACACCAAGTCAAAAAGGTCCTTTCCTTTCCACTTGAACTGGAACACATGAATGTTTAAGTCTTCTACAGTTTTATCAGAAAAGAAAAACAAAACATGCTGAATTACCAGAATTTGCTTAATTTGTTTACCCTGCAACAGACAAAAACTAGAATTACCACCCTGTGGTTTTATGCCTCAGCAAACAATTCAAGTTGCAATTACAGTTTAATCCATGGCTGTCCATTGACTTTTTGGATATAAAATGTCATCACTTCATCATTTTATCCTGTTACACATTGGTGTAAAATTTTGTCATGATTTGCGCATGAATTATTAAGTTAGGGCAAAAAACATGTTTGTGAGGTCACAGTGAGCTTGACTTTCGACCACAATTCAGATTCAGATAACTTTACTAATCCCACCAGGGGCAATTTAAGTGAACAGCTTGCCTTACACACATACTATAATATGACATACAGTAACATGTAGACACATAAATAAATGAGTAATCAAATAAAAAACAGAAATAAAAAATATGCCACGGTGTTCTGTGGAATAAAGGAATCTAAAAGTTAATACACAGATTGACATAAAAGAGATAAAAGCTATAATTTTTTTTTTTTTTTTTTTTTTACAGAGAATTTCAAAGACGAATAGCAGAGGGAATAAAAGATTTTGAATACAAGTAGGTAAAACGTAACGACGCTCTGACGGCAACAGAGGAAATTCGCCTGCAAGAACACGTCCAGAGAAAGCTAAATTTAGTTGTGGCTTTCTGGAGGATTTGTTGATTGCAAAAAAAGGGTCAAGTCCCGTTGTGTCACTCCTGTGACCTTAGAAACGTCTAAATGGCATTGGCATCTGCTCTGTCTGTCAATGTGAGGCTGTGAAACCAGCAGATAAATGAAAAACACAGGAGGCTCTCAATAAAGACTGATACATACAGCCCAGGATGACAGGACTGACGGAAAAGGAATTTAGTTAACGGAGAAGGTGAATTACAAGTCCACGACATTTGTGCAATATATGAGGATATTCCCTTACAGCCTTCTTGAGATATTCCGACAGACAAGGTCATAGTGACCTTGACCCTTGAACACCAAAATCTAATCAGTTCATTGTTGAGTTCAAGTGGACGTCTGTGCCAAATTTGATTAGGCATTCTATAGATATCGTGTTCACAAGAATGGGATGGATGGTTGGACAATCCAAAAACATAATGCCTTCAGCGCCAAGGCATAAAAACACTAAACTAAAAGCACAATGAGAACTCCGTCTGTCAGAGCTAAATATTGACAGTAAAATTCACATCATTTCCTGGCTGCCCCTGATGTGTATGATTTCGCAAGAGAACAGAGCCACTTAATATTTTATAAGGTTAAACACTGACAGCCCTTCATACGACGCTGTGCCTCCTGAATCGAGACATCCTGGCATTCCCATCATAACCTGGATCTCTGGTTCAAAGCAAGGAGCCATACATATTCTCCTGATCCAGCTGAGAGCTAGGAGACAGGCATATCAGGCGCACATAACCAATTTAGATAGCTTTCATTTCAAGCCTCTGAGCTAACTCACAGCGCAAGCTACTGTCAAGTACATTCTAGGTTAACGTGAAAAAAACTGAGTTAAAAAATGCCAGAAATGAGGAAAGCTGCAGTGGGAAATGGCAACAGGGGCCAATCGAAAAATCTATACACACTGCTGAATTAACATTTTGCCTATATGACCAATACATGTTAAATGCTATTTACAAAACCCATAATTGATACAATTATCATCCCAGGACAGAAAATAGAAACCTGCGACTAACATTACGCTGCTCTGTGTAATTACCAGCTGCAAACTTTGGTGGGGTTCCTCCCCTTTAAATACAGAGATGGTGTCTGCAAGTCACTGTGATGCCTTTTAGTTTTGGTATCAACCAAGTCGTGTGCTAAACCAAAAACACTGCATGGAGGACAAAAATACATATTGAAACCAGCATAAATCTGTGTGTGCGTGTGAGTGTGAGTGTGTGTTTTACTTCACACTGCAGGATGATTCATCCAGCATTGCAGCAAGTCTTACCCTGCACTGAGCTGTGCCACTGACTAAAATGTTCATGATTTCATTGCTGCATAAGACGGAGATAAATTATAAGATATATGGTCTCCAGTAGAAGAGACCCACAGTGCTGCTCGCGTTTGTTCACAGTCACCTGCTGCCATCTAGTGTCTAGAAGTGAAACTGATATATATTAATGAGCGACCATTATCACTGTTGTCGCCTGGATCATCTCTGTAACTACATGCTACTTCAGTTGTCATTGCAGATTATGGTTAAGCATAGGATATGGTTAAAGTTGCATTGCAGTGCGTGATAACTAGTGACCTCAGTGAGAGAATTTAGATGCATTTGATGTGCTCAGGAAAACCTTTGATGCAAAGTTAAATGATATTATGCTCTCTCTCTCTCACACACACACACACACACACACACACACATATACACACCTCGCAGCTGAACTCCATATCTGACTCCATCGTGCAGATCCTGACGTTGAAGTTTCTGGCTTGTTTTCTCATCAATGAGTTAAATCCCATTTTCGCTGCTAAGGCACTTGCCATGGCGAACAGCTGATGAACTCACTATTCACTTACTGAAAGTCGTTAATTCCTACAACCGGAGCGCACTGTCAGGGCATTGTGTTTATCATACTCTGTAGCGTAGGCAGCAGATGAGCCAGTTAGCATTCATTTGCTTAGTTATCAGGAGATAAGCACAGATGTGCATGTGACTGTCCAGCTTTACGAAAGCTCGTTCAAGTTGCATTAAAGTTTACATACAGCTTCCAGTGACATTTTTTAATTTATAAATGTCGCATACACATTATTTGCGATACTGTTGTGTCACGTTGGTGACAAAACAAAAAGTTTACATTAAGCACGGGCTGGTAAACAGTGTAGCTGCTGTCCCAGACTTGTTGCTAACGTTAGCTAGGTTTAACAGAAACTGTTAGCTAACTAACATTAACGTTAAATGTCCAATATAAGCACTTATCTTGCGCTAAAGTTGTACAACTATATACCGTAAATTTCGTTAACGTTTTCATCTACGCGTACGAGAAAATATTTATCCAATAAATCCCCTCTGGATAGTTCAAAACACTTCGGTTGCTGTATGTAAATTGTGCTGGTAACGAAGCGCTAGCTACCTGCTGCTAACCATTTGTTCGCGAGCTCATCCAAGATGCGATGCTGCGTTCAAGGGCCGCCTAGAATGTTGTAATAACAATGTAGCACACATTAATGACAATATCATAACAACTCAAAGGAGCTCCTTTAGGTCAGAGAGTGTGCAATTTTTGTATAACATTTAAATATTGAGAGGCTTTACGGCATTATTATATCACTGTGTTATACCATAAAGCTGTCACAGAATTAATTTTCAAATTATTTTATTGGTTTTTAAATCACTAAATGATCTTGCCCCATTTTATTTGGGGTAGTGTCTGGGGTACTAAACTTGTTTCTTTATCACAAATGTTTTGTTACATTTTATGCATGAATTGTGTTTTATAAATAGAGATAAAGATTATTATTATTATTATTATTATTATACAATATACTGTATGTAGTAACAAATTATTTGCTTACATTTGCTCTCCTCCTCTTTCTCTTTCTGACCCCAACCCTAGACCAATATTATATTATATTATATTAATCATTATTAAAAAAAAAAAAAAAAAAAAACAAGTCAGAGCAAACCATGTTCTAGGTGAAAATAATAATTTTAGAGCTGAAATGATTAGTCAGTGAATTGATTAGTAAATCAACATAAACCAGAATCAGAGTCAGAAATACTTTATTGATCCCTGGGGGGCAATTATGACTCATTACAGTTGCTCCAGTGTAATGAATAAAGAATTATAAGAATAATATTAAGAGTATGAGGTAAAGTTATGTAAATATAAAGCAATAAAATACATAAAATAGAAATGAAATGTGGATTATGCTACAATGTTTAACACTAGACATAAAAAGAGTGAAATATCAAAACTAAAATATGGGAGTGTGAGAATATAATTACAATATACACATCAATAGAATAAGACAACAATGGAATTAGAGTAAACACTAGAAATATGCACAGTGCATCTATTGTAAACTGCATCTATTTTGATAAGTTATTAATTGTTTAATTCCCTTGTTCTTGCTCGTCAGTTGTGAGACTTTGCAGCTTTTGTTTGTCTTATGTGATAACAATCTGAGTATTCTTGTGTTTTGGAGTATTGGTCAGACAAAAGGAGGAAATTGATTATGTCAACTTGGGCATTTAAGAAATTCTGGACATTTCTGACCACTTGAGGCCAAATGATTATCACAAAAGTAACTGACAAATAATTGTAATGACAATAACAGTCAGTTGCAAACCTAATTCTTTTTTTATTTGCAACACATTATGTTACAAGTTTTCTGTTCTTTGTTAAACCACTAATTCACTTCAGTGTCTTGTGTGTAAAAGACATACAGAATTGTCACTGACATAGGACATTATGAGTTTTTGGCTGCTGAAGATTTTACTGTACATTTCTCTATTGCTGTAAACTACTAGTCGGTTGGTCGATTGGTTAGCTGATATGCTCTTGTCCGGCCAAATTCTCATTGGTTGTACAGTCGCTGGTGTTGTGTATCCACCAAAGCCTTTCTTTTCCAAGCTAAAAACAGCAGTTGTTGTGGTTTAACACTTGTATGTATTCCCTGTTATAATAAAGACTCTGGTTGAATACATGCCTGTATTCCTGTGTAATGTCCGAGGAGCCTGAAGGCATCACAGCTTCCCTTTTCCTCCTGACCGACCAACCAATCACACTGCGCTACACCTCCTTCGCCCCGCCCCTAGCCATGCCCCCTGCGCCATAAATGGGCGGGGCTTGAGCAATGAGGTAATCGGGGTAAACAGTAAAGATGGCGACGTCTGTAGCCGGAGAGGGGCAACAAAGTCTAAATGGGATTATTTCCGAGCCTCAGACTGAAAAACTGACCGACCTGCCGACCGAGTTGCTCGAACACATCCTGTGCTTCCCCGTCCTCAAACATGTCGACATTTGTAACGTCTCCTGCTGCTGCAAGCGACTACACGACGTTTGCCACGGAAGAGGGAAGGTCTGGGGACACCAGTACAAACTCAGGTGCTGTGGGCTTTTATGTGGTATTTCGTCGGAGTTGCGGCTTGTGGTGGCTTTTCACCATTATCTGCCGAAACGAGTCTCCCGTGTCATTATTATATGTGTCGTTAGGAGCCATAAATCGCTCAACGTCTACTTCAATGTGGCTCCGTTAACTGCGAGCTCACAGGCACCCGTCAGCCGTTGACATTCTGCTGATGCACCAAATTCATCATCACGTCAGGCCAGTCTCAAGCTTATACTCTGCAGGCGGCTGTGAAGCGTGTAAATCTCAACCTGAAAATCTTCCACAAGTTGCAGCCAATTCTCATTTTCATCCAGATCAGCTAAAAATGAGTTTGTGTGACCTTGAATGTTACATGCTGCCTGTGAACTGCAGGACAGTGCAGCTCATGCCAAAAGCTGAGCCCTCCTCCGGACTCACTTGGCTGTTGCTCTGCTGTTTGCTTTTCTGTGTGCAAAGAGAGAAAAAAAAAACACTGCAGCAGGGTGATAAATGATTTCATAGACGTGTCATTCACTGCTTGAGGCAAGACACTGATAAATTAATTCTGAGCATGCCCCAAAGTGTCACTGAAATAACAGTTTTACTGCCTTCATCAACAGATGGCCCAGGCTGCAGAGGTATTACCGTCAGAACGAGTGCTGTGACTGGCTCAGAGAATACAAAACACGCCACAGAGTTGGGATACAAATACGAAGGACCGTGGAATCAATCTCAAAGAGGTTCTTCACTGAAGTTGTAAGTAATCCATTTGTAATCAAGCATACATCATCATTATTACTATGTTACATTAGATTATGCTTTAAAGGTCCAGTGTGTAAGATTAAGGGGGATTTAGTGGCATCTTGTGGTGAGGATTGGCAATTGCAACCAGCTGAAACTTCTCCCAGTTAAAATTCTTTCAGTGTTCATTGTTCAGGAGATTTTAATCAGGCGCGTAATTATCCACAGAGGTCTCTCTCTCTTTCCATAACAAACAAAGCAGGTGATTAAAACTGGTAAAAACACTGAATAAAGCAGTTTCATGTTACAAATCAGTGTTTCTCCGACGCTGTTTGGCATGACAGAGTTGGGCCGCTAGTCCCAAGACCTGCTAATGTGTACTCACCTTTTTTCTCTGATACCTTAAGCCCGTTTCCACCAAACAGTTTTGGTATGGTACCTCTGGAACCAAAAGTAACCCTTCAGACATGGTACCTAGACCCTAGCTCCACTCAACGTCTCCATTGTAAACAGTACTCTTAAATGTGGGCGGGGTTGTTGTCACTCACTGCTCCGTCCAGCACTCACTGTATTTCCTCTTTTATCAGTCTGCTCCTCGTTTATCGTCCACAGAACGAGGCTGCAGGCCGACATTTTCAGAACAAAATAAAACAGGCTGCAGTGAGAGTCTCTCTCCATGGGATATTTAAAAATAGCAGCTTTGTGCATTTAGTCCTTCTCAGGCAAGCTCAGGGGTTTAGTGTCAAATGAATCGGATTTAGTATTTTCTCCAAGTGAGGAATAGAATATATGCAGTTTACATTATCCAGTTGAAATTAATATATATAAATGCTTGAAGATCCACTCATTACTAAAAGTATATGTCATCCAAGAGAGACAATAAAAACTAAAGTAGTGGTCAAAGTTGTCACAGTGAAATTTAAGGTGTGTCAATGGATTCATGTCGTCAACTCGGAGTATCATTACAAGTAAACGCTCCACCTTAAAAGTTGCCGGCAGTCGGCCGTGTGAATTAAGTTATTTTTTCTCAGACTCCAGCTGCTGTGAGAGGCAGCACAACATCTTTTCATTTTATAGTTACAGTTTACTAATAAAACTCTCCACAGTATGAACAGTGGTTACATGAGCCTCAAAACCAGCCACAACTTGTCACAGTGGAAACAGAAGAAAGCGTACTTAACTGTACCGTACTGTACTCTACTGCTTGGTGGAAACGGGGCCTTAATGTGTGCTCATCTCATTTCTGGTCCAGACGTTCAGGAGCCAGATAATCCGCAGAGGTCTCTTCCTCTCCAAAAAAAATGTAGGTGGTGATTTAAATTGATAACAACACTGAATAAAGCAACTTTACATGCATTTTTTCTTGTCAATGAAACAAATGTAAATGGCTTTATCTAAAGCCAGTGTTTGGTTTGTCCGTTCTGGGTTACTGTAGAAACATGTCAGTGCAACATGGCGATCACCATAGACAGGGACCTGCTCCTTTTGCAGATATAAACAGCTCATTCTAAGGTAAGAAAAACACAAAGATTGTTATTTTCAGGTGATTATACACTAAAGAAAACATACTTATTATATAATATTCCATTTCTCCCAGTATATCCCCCTAAATCCTACACACTGGACCTCTAAATAGATATAACAAAATGTAAAATGCATTCAGTTGGATCTGTAAAATCTGCAAATTTTCCTTTATAGATGCATTTTGAAAAATCATTATGTGTTTATGTGAATTGGCTGGCCTTTTGTGTGTGTGGTCTGTGTGTGTGTGTGTGTGTGTGTGGGCGCATGTTGGTGCAAGACAAACCGAGCTTTCTATGTTCCACACTAACCCAGAGATCTGTAACTCAGCCTTGCGTTGGCCAGGTGCTGGGAGACAGCTTTGCAGAGATCGAGTCACTCGGGATGCCGGAGCACTTCTGTGAAGACGAGCTCCTCTTCATCCTCAACTCTGACAAGAGGTAAGAGCGGCAGTGTGCGCACACAGTAAAACCTCCACACTTGCCACACTCTGCATTTTGCAATCATTAATGGGTTCGCGTGTTGATGTTGTTAATCCTCTTTGATTATGAAAGCTCTTGTTGTGTTGCACACTCCCGCCCTCCGACCGTTAATGTGTCTCTCTTCCGTTTTGCGTCCATCATCAGGAAAAGCTTGACCTTGAAGTACTATGCAAAGAAAATCCTTTACTTCCTGCGACAACAGAACATCCTGAGGAGTTTGAAGACCTTCTTGGAGCAGCCTGTGGAGCAGCAGTCGGCTTTAGAGGGTGAGGCGTGACTACATGTCATACAACTCAAGCTGAACC